CTCAGCCGCCCTAATCCAATCGGGAACCACAATGGTGGGGGAAACCCACCCTTAGCACCGATTGGCTGTATGCTCTATGATGTGCCCAGCGGCCCTAACCCAATTGGGAACTACAATGGTGGGGGAAACCCGCCCTCTGTCTCGTAGGGCCGTATGCTTCATGATATGCCCAGCGGCCCTAACCCATTTGGGAACCACAATGGTAGAGGAAGCCAGCCCTCTGTCCCAATGGGCCGCATGCTCCATGATGTACCCAGCGGTCCTAACCCAATCAGGAACCACCATGGTTGAGGTAGCCCATCCTGTGCCTTGGAGGGCCGTAACCTCCATGATGTGCCCTGTGGTTGTAACCCAATTGGGAACCACCATGGTGGGGGTAGCCCACCCTCTCCCTAGTCCCCAGAGCAGCAGAGTTCTCAGATTTTTGCCCACCGGTCCAACGCTTCGGACCATCACCGGATTACTCGTCTCATCGAATCCCATAAATCCCATAGTCCTTACAATATTGCAAAATGGTCTCACTATAATTTTTGTTGACGGTTATGGAAATGAGATAATGAGTTTCCTATCTTGTATATTACAAGATGTTAAGTTTTCGGTTTCTATAACCGCCAACAATTATAATAGCCTCAAAATTACAATACTGGAAGTATTGAATCTCCTTCTCGAGAATATAGTCAAATGAAGATGAACTCGTAGCTTTATAAGTTTAATATAAATTGTCTCAAAAATGCAAGCATATGATGAATCATACAAAACATAATACCGAGGAAGACTGCATACACAACATAATATGGAGGAAACTATATATTCTCGTAGCATACTAGGAAGACTACCATCAGAGAGAGAGAAGAAAATCAATCAGGGGCTCCAAAATTTTGCAGTATTGTAAGGGCTATGGGATTTCTAGGGTTTGATTATCGGAGGAGTTCAGTTATGGTGCAAAGGGTCGGGGCGCCAGGCACCTCATGGAGAATACGGCCCCCTAAGACAAAGGGCGGGCTGCCCCGACGATGGATTGCCTAAGGACCATGGGGAACATTCTGGAGCATGCGGCCCTATGGGAGGGAGGGCGGCTTGCCCCCAAGATGGTGGCTCCCGATTGAGTTAGGACCATGGGGCACATCACTGAGTCTGATTCCGTAGCCACCACCAAGCTTTGAACCCACTCCGCTGCGTAAATCTTTCGGTTCTTCAACTACAGCTCACCGTTGTCCAGGCTCTCTTTGCCATTGAAAACATTTTCACCTCTTTGAGAACTGAGAAAACCCAAACAAACATATTACTGTTATGCTTGCTATCCATGGTACCTTATCCTTGGGTTGCAGGTGAGACTGTCTCTCTTTAGCATTCACGTACAACCATCCTTGTCGGCACATAAACTAATGAACATTGTAAAGGGGCTCGAGTCATGGTGCTAGCATCCCCACACCCAGTTACCACATTGTGGTATACTTTGCTACAGCTGACACCCCCAATTAACACCTTAAAAAATGTAACGCTCTAATCTATTTAAAAAAAAGTTGGGGCTTGTCTTCCTTACTGAATTGCCTAAAAACAAAAAACTAATGAATGTAAGGATTGCAGTGCTAAGACTGCTTAGGGATTTACATAGGGACTATAAATTTTTCTAAAATACAATAAAGGTTTTCTAAAATACAAAATGCTCCATTTATAGGTAGAAATTACAACAAATGTTGGTCAACTTGTGTTATTTTGGTTTTTTTACAAAATTGCCCCTCCATCCAAAATTTCTAAAACCAAAATATAATTTTGTTTTTTGTTTTTTTATTAGACTGCCCTAAAGCTTGGAGCATTGCCCTACTAACAAAAAAATTCAAAAAAGAAAGTAATGAAAATTTGGATCGAGGATTCCATCCTCGAGTCAAGGATAAATTCTGAAAAAAAAAAGAAAAGAAAAATAAAGCAGGTTTTGACTATAAAGGAAACATTTTGTATTTTTAAAAAAAAATTAGAATCCATAAGTAAATCAGTCTAAGAGTTAAAAGGGCGAGTTTCTTGGAAAGAAGTGAGAGAGGGTAGAGAAAGGAAATGTCATGAACAATCTAGTAGATTCAAGACACATTCTCTATCTCTTCTCTTTCTCTATATCTCTATGTCATTGGTACACAAACTTCAATATCATGAACAAGTAAGAAAACCAAAGTCTCGAAAATAGGAGTTTCTTTCTTGCCACCAAGTGGTAAGAAAGAAAGGCTATAAGTACAGAGAGAGAGAGAGAGAGAGAAAGAGAGAGAGAGAGAGAGAGAGAGAGAGAGAGAGAGAGAGAGAGAGAGAGAGTCTCAATATAAATAAAAATATTCGAGAGATCGAGAGAGAGAGAGGGAGATTGCATTGAATGAGGAATATAGGAACTTACCAGAAGCCCAATAGAGAAAAGCAAATGAATGTAGAAAGCTTCATCATGCTAGCAAAGCTATCAATGTAGAAAGCTTCATCATGCTAGCAAAACTGTCAACCAATGGACAATCACAAAACTAACTTTACAAAGAAAAAAGTTTATATAAAGTTGACACCTTAAAATATAGAATTAAGTTACACAACTAAAATCCCTGAAAAAAACACATTGTTTTGAAGTTAGAAAGACATTTAATTGGTCATATCGACATTGAGATATAAAGATGTAGAAGGGAAAAAAAAGATTTCAAGTTATAAAAATAGTACATCTTAGAACATATTATTGGAAAAAAAAAATTCAAATTATAAAAATCGTACATCTTGGAACACATTATTTGGACCCTCCATTTTCAAGATTTTCATTTATTTATAGATCTACTTGATTTGAATTGTGAGCGTGTGGAAAACTTTAGTATAGTTGAGTTTTGTGTTTATCTCTCCATGAGTACGTGAATACGTGTTCTTTTATAATTTCGATATGGTATCAGAGCCGAGGGCTAAGTTACTTAAGAGATAGGCATTGGAGGGCTAAGTGACCTAAGAGATAGGCATTGGTGGAGATTTATTACGTTGAGAGGAGAACAGAGACAAAAATCAAAGGAAGGGGTCACAAATTTCTTTATTTTTGTGCTTTTTGCCATATGGCAAACAATAGCAACTCAAAGACTTCTCGACCATCAATTCCAATTTTTAAAGGAGATTTTTATAAGCATTGAAAATTTCAAATGAAAATAATGTTTGGGTCTTAATTAAAAATAAAAAGGTGATTAAAAAAAAAAAGGATTTGCAATAAAAAAAAAGGAGAAAAAAAATTGTGATGTTCTTGGAAAAAGAAGATGAAGAATTAAAAAAAAAAAAAAAAAAAAAAGGGAAAAAAAAATTGGAGAGCTCTTGTTGTCGTATTTTTGCAAAAGTTTTCAAAAAATGAGATTTAGAAAAGAAAAAAAAATTCTAAAGACGAACATGAGTAGTCCTCATGGGAAATCCATGCCTATGTAGGCATAGGAAAAATGAAAATGAAAAATGATGTTTAGGAAAGAAGAAAAACAGGACACTGCGGTCCTAATATGTTTTGCCATGGAAAGGGATGATGGGAAATTCATGCTTAGCGTAGGCGTAGGAAAAATGATTAATTTTTGAAAAATGAAAACAAGACATCGAAGTCTTAGTTTGTCATGTAATGAAAAGGCATGATGATGCCATGAAAATGCATGAGGGTGCCTAATGAGAATGCATAAAAAAGAAATTGTGTTTAGAAAAACAGCACATTCAAGTCCTAGTTTGTCATCTCAGGAAAAGGCATGATGATGCCATAAGAAGACTAAAAATGGTGCCAAATAAAAAGGCATAAAATAAGAAATTGTGTTTAGAAAAACAGGACAATCCTAGTTTGTCATGTCATGAAAAACCATGATGATGCCATGAGAAGACATGAAAAAAAAATGAAATATGTTTTTTTTAAAAAAAAAAAGAAAGAAGAAGAAATGAATAAGAAGAAGAAAGAAGCAAAAAGAAGAAGAAGAAGCAAGAAGCAGCAAGTAGAAGAAGAAACAAAAAAAAAAAAAAAAGTAGAAGAAAAAAAAGCAAGATGCAGAAGAAGAAATAAGAAGAAACAAGAAGAGATTTAAAAGAAAAAAAAAATGAAATTTGTATCAAGGGAAGTGTTAAAGATGAGGCAAAAAAGTGGATGTAATGGGTAGTTATTTAGGTAATGGGTAGTTAGCTGGATAGTGGGTAATTTGTTAAAGACGATGCGTGGATGTAATGGGTAGTTATCTAGGTAGTGGGCAGTTTGTTAAAGATGATGCAAAACAGTGGATGTAATAGGTAGTTATCTAGGTAATGGGTAGTTATCTATATAGTGGGCTGTGTGGTAATCATGAGGGTGTAGTAAATTTGAGTATAGTTGAATTTTGTATTTATCTCACAATGAGTACGTGAGTACATGTCTTTTAAAATTTCAACAAAAAGAGAGGCCACATATGGAAAGTGTGCCAAAGGGTTACATGGGACAGTTGAAAAGCCATATTTGAGATAATTCTCATTTTTGTTGACACGGCACACCGGAGAGATATGCTTCTCAGGTTTTGATTTCTGCTGCTTTGATTGAGATCTCAGAGCTGGCTCCTTGCTCTGGTTCACAAGAGAATTTTTGAGGTGATACCTGGTTCTTTATCTAATTGCAGTTTCTCTCTCTAGTTTGTTGGAGACATCTCAGCCTGTGCAATACTCTTGCTTTAGTGAAAAGAGAGACCAACACCCGTTGTGCAGTGGAGAGAAGAATTAGGGCCTTATTTTGTAGAGGTTTTAGATGGCGGTTTTGGGATCTGGATACAAATGGTAGTTTTGGGATCAGATATTTGGTTTTCCAAATGGCAGTTTTGGGTGTGGTTTCAAAATGGCGGTTATGGGTGTGGTTTGAACTGGTAGTTTTGAGAGTAGGTGGTTTGGGAAGATGGCAGTTTTGGGCATACGGTTTCAGATCAAGATAACAGGGGTAGTTTCAAAAGGCGGTTTGAGAGTTGGTGGTT